TTATCTATTCGTTCATTTACTTATTTATTCAGTGTTTGTGTGTGTGTGTGTGTGTGTGTGTGTGTGTGTGTGTGTGTGTGTGTGTGTAGAGGTCAGAGGACAACTTGTTGGACTTGGTTCTCTCTGTATACTAGGTGGGTCTCAGGACTGAAGTAAGGTCATCAGGCTTTGTTGCAACTAACTGCCTTTGCCCACTAATCCGTCTCACTAGCCTGCAGACCGGCAGGTTTGCAGTCAGGGGACTGAAGTGAATTCTCCCAGCTGAAGAAAAGCAGTCCCCAGTGTAAGACTAGAAATGAATGAATGAATGGTGAGCAAGGGAAAGGGGAAATACACGCACAAATATAAATTAACAGGGACTGAGTAAATACGGTTTATAAATATCCCATGTGGAGAATAAATCCATATAACAAGAAGTAACTGAAGCCAAAGGGCAGCAGTGGGTCGTGTGATAGCTTTAGTTTAAATGTTATAATAGCAATCATATTCTATTTTAGTGAGTCAAGGTTAGATGTTGACAGATTATAGCTAACAACTATGAACATAATTGTAAAAAAAAAGTCTATAACTGACATGTTAATTCAGCAGGGAAATTAAAAATATGTTATTCCAAAATAAAGCAAAAATGAAGGAACAAAAGGGAACAAGTCACCAAAGAACATAAAATAAACAGAAAGCAGTGAGGCTGTTTCTTTTTCTAAAACTTTATCTCTAGTCCTCTCAAGTTCTTTAGTAAGTACACTAAAGCTACACAGTCACAAATAAAATGTATAGAGTTCAGATGACTCTTCCACTAAATTCAAGCAGAAATAGCATACATAGAGTTTTTGTTTGTCTTTTGTTTTTTGTTTTTCAAGACAGGGTTTCTCAGTGTAGTTTTGGTTCCTGTCCTGTATCTTGCTCTGTAAACCAGGCTGGCCTCGAACTCACAGAGATCCGCCTGGCTCTGCCTCCCAAGTGCTGGGATTAAAGGCGTGCACCACCACTGCCCAGCCATACATACGGTTTTTAATTAGAGAGAGGTGAGCACCTAACTTTACTAGTTTGATTGTTTTTAAGAGGTCACCTCTAATTCATCAGGATATTTTATATTGAGTGTGTACAATGAAATTTTAGGGTGGAGGCAAGCTAGTCTATGTACAAAGTCAAATCGTAAGATGCACAGCCAGCTGTGATACTTTGGGAATGGGGAAAACGTTGAAAAGAGAAAAATACCCTGTTTTCTAGCCTGCTGTTAGCAAGCATGGCATTCTTTCACATTCAGAAATTTCTATCAATCCCAACTGCAGCCAAGTTATCTCATAACACATCATCCAGCCCTGTATATCATCTTATCTACCAAATTCAACAACAAATAAGAGGTAAAGTTCCTTGTGGTTTATTTACAGCATTCAAATTTCATTTTCATCCTTTCTTCACCATCAAATCCTGGCTGAGGGCTATGTAATAAAAAGACAAGTCACAAACCATAACAACACCCATCCACTGGTACTAAGGCAAGACCCGAATGATAACATGGGCTTGTTATCATTAATTTTGTACTAATTTCACAATTATGCATTACATACTAATGTGCCAATCATTGCTGTAGATTTTCCCAAGTATGTGACACTTGGCTTGTCCTCTGTAAAGATGTACAGTCATTCATTTGTTTAAGAAGTACAAACTGATCATCAGAACTAACCAGTCATTTTGTCAGGTGTGGTAAGTCCAATGATGGGTTGTTTCCTGGTCTTAATGGGCTTAATATATGGCAGAGAGTTATATTCCAAATAATCACCAAATAAATGGGTAAGCCACATTATATACAATAGTTCACGCTACAGTAAAATCATAAACAAGGCTAATGGGAAGGGGTTCATGAAAAAGTGGCACTCACATTGAACACTGAAGACTGAATAAAAGCTAACTGAGAAATATCTTCTAGCAGAGGAATGAAACAAGCAAAGGGAACATGGTTTATAGAGAATTCAAAGAAGGCCACTGTGGCAAAAAAAAAAAAAATGACAAGAATAAAAGGGAATAGTTTAAGATGAGATGAATGAAGGACTACTGGAGGCTTCAGAGACCCAATTGTTTGTCCATTTCTAAAAACAAAGGAATTCACATAAGGTTACGAAACAGAGTAATGGCATGATTTAACTTGAAATACAGAACTTCTCGACTGTTGAGACAGTAGGTTGGAGAGGAAAATGAAAGTAACAAGGGTAAGACAACAGTCTCATCATACGGAGGTCACATAAAGCTGTTTTAGAATTGTAGTGCTGATGAAGTTGGAAAATAGATACATTTAAAAGGAATTCAAGAATGGAATTCCAGGATTCTATAATTCTTTGAAAGTGATAGAAACAGAGAAAAAGAAGCCTTCTGTTTTTGACTTTGTAGAAAGAAGCGAATTGTGAGCAGATTCTTTGCAACAGGAAATCCTGGGGAAAGCCCATGGTTGGAAAGTGTATTAGTAAGGGTTTTGATGGTTATGATAAAACACCATAAGAATTATTTTAGCTTACAGTTCCTTATCACAGTCCATTACTGAAGGAAGTCAAGGCAGAAACCAAAGGAAGAACCAGGAATCAGGAACTAATGCAGAGATGATGGACAACCTCTGTTTACTGGCTTGACTTTCATAGCTTGCTCAGACTACTTTCTTGTAGCCCCCACTCAGGGGTGTCACTGCCTACAGTGACCTGAGTCATCATGCATCAATCATAATTCAAAAGATAATCACCATCACATATCAATCATAAATCAAAAGATAATCACCATCACTCATCAATCATAAATCAAAAGTTAATCACCATCACTCATCAATCATAAATCAAAAGATAATCACTACAGTCCTTTCCACAGGCCAATCTGATGGGGGCATTTTCTTAACTGAGGATCCCTCTTCCCAAATGACCCCCAGAATGTATGAAAACTCAATAGCTAGGAGGATTTGTGTACAGAACAAGGATGATTTTCCACAGAAAACTAGCCAGCACAGAAAGAGAGAACATGAATGTAAGTAGGAAATGTTCATTATCAATTCCTGTTGAGATATCTAAGTGCAGACTGAAGCTCAGAAGAGAGTTGAAAATATAAAAACCAAGAACTGGGACACAAATAATAACCAGGACCATGAGAGGAGATAAGCTGTAGGACAGATGGACATGATTCCCCAGACAGACTGGCAAGGAAACAGAGAAAAAAGAGCTGGACCAAAGAAGTGGTTTGTAAGGTGTATTTAGGGAACAAATGGGAGCATCACAGGCAGAAGAGTTGGCAGGTATTAAAAGAGAGTCTTCCAGAAAAGCACATAAGAGTGTAAAAGTTGTGTCTTTTGATTGCCTCATCAATAATCCTAGTAATTTTCATTTTCTCTATATCTTCATCTTAACAGATAGAGTGGACACCATCACCTATCAGCCTGCTGTTAATCACCATCCACAAGGCCCACAAAATGTACAAATCAAAACACTGGAGCATCCATACAACTATAATAATCACCTAAGCAATGAAAGTCACCACATGATTTCATCCTGAAACATAAATGTTAGGGATTCTTGATTGCGTAAGACCTACTGACTGCTAAAGAATGTTGACAGCCTGCTAGGAAGTTCACAGCAGAATACATGGGAATTACCCGCGAGGACGTGGGAGGAGATGGAGCACAACTTTCCGCTTCACCACTCCCACCATCGGGTTTTCATCAGAGGACCCTGGCCAATCCTTTCGTGCCTTTTTTAATCAGTACGTATTGCTTGTAGAAAATAACGGATTTCATTGCATCACTTCCCTGTGTGTGTATTATACACTGTGATCGTATGTACTGCCTCATTACCCTCGCCTAACCCTCCTCTTCCTCCTGAGCCTCTTCATTTCTCTCCATCTCTATTTTCATTGTTTCTTCGTTTGTTTCATTGTTTCTTTTCTGCCCTCAGCGACAAAGAAAACATGCAATGCTAGTCTTTTCAGGCTCTGGCTCATTTCACCGGACGTGGTGACTTTCTGTTCCAGGCACCTACCTGCAAAGAACTTGATTTTGTTCTTCTTTCTGAATCATAACTATTGTGTGATATGCCGTGTCTTCTGTATTATATCCATTTATCTGTTGATAAACACTGAACTGACCCTAGGACTCTTGCAAACAGCCCTGGCCAATTCTAATTAAGGAGGCACAAACTGTCTATAAATCAGCCCATAAATGCTGAGTCCTACTTGTGGATCCAAGGTTTCAATTGCACCTGTTGGAACACTGGACTGAGACTGCACCATAAGAAAATGTATAACTACTTTTAGAACAGTTGGTGTAACGTCACACAGCAAAACTAGACTAGCCCACTAAAATACTAAAATAAACTACCTTGTTTACTAGGTGAACAGGCGCCTATAATTAAAAAGGCTAATAGCCAAGGCCTCGCGGAGCCCTTGATTCATAACAGGTTTCAGCATTTAGAACGATTACAGCTCTTGGGGAAATGCAGGAATGATTTTATTATGCAATGGCTTTATTCAAGTTTGTTTAATTTTGTTAATGCAAAAAGACATTAGGGATAGTCAACGCTCTGGCCTGACACGTGATTTTAAATAGTAGTATGTCTTCCTAGTGTGCATTGGCTTCATTCCTTTTTCTAACCCACAGGTGACAAGCTTGTAGTCTGTCACACGTTACAAGGAAGAGAGTGAGAACAAAGGCATTGTCCTTGAGAAAACGCCTCTGGATCCAAATTGCAGTAGATAATGCATCCCTTCTAAGGAAAACACACAGACATGATCACTCCTGTAGGCCACCTGCAAATGGTCCGGGGGAGGGAAATTGCTAGGCCTGCAAGATGAGTCCTACTGGTTCACAGCAGAGAGGGTGAAAAGACTTTTCAGCTACAGAGCCGCACACTGACACAGAACTGCTGCAGACAGGGCCCTGGCATACAGAGCTGACACAAAGGGATGAGAGGGTGAGGTTGATGGGAAAGAGGCTGTGCGGGAGGGTGGGGGCGCCCTAGGCCGCGAGGTGGTACCTGCGCCGGGTCCAGCGCCCCTGCCACTGACTCTCCGCTCCACAGATGCTCGCGGAGAAGCTGCTGGTAGCTGAGGCAGTGCTTGGCAGCAGATGGTAGATTCCCCATGCCGCAGCCTGGGTGCCGCGGGCGGTGTTAGATCGCAAGGCCTGAGCCCGGAAGACGTAGAAGCCAGCCGGGAGCGCGTCCCGCGGGTGCCCGCACAGGGTCCGAGGCTGCACTGCGGCGGCGCGGTTCCCGGGCAACGCCCAGGCAGGGGTGCAGCTGGCACCTGAGTCCAGCGCGGAGACCCAGAACCCGGATGGGAACAGTAAAGTGAGGCAGGGTGGCACCCCCGCCCCACCTCGAATGTGGATCTGTCAGGGTTGACTGTCTGCAGGTGCCCACCCACCTACTCATGCCTGAGTCAGAGCTGTGGGGAAAGACAGTGGCCTCTGAGAGGAAAGAGCACAGGGCTCTGTACAGACAGTGTTTCATTCCCAACCACAAGCCTGTAGGGCTGTCCCTCGGAATTCGTTTGAGGGCTTGTGTCAAAACTCTATTTAAAATTGCTGAGGCGCTTTGCTATATAAAAAAAAAGCATAAACTCTATAAAAGAGAATCCTAAATTAGGGGAGATCCTGGAGGTAGGCAGCACACCATGAAGTTGTCAGTAAAGCCGATGGCGCAAGACAAAGGTTGAAATGCTGGATTCTTTTTGTTGGTTTTCATTTATTGATTTTAGTGGTTCTTTTTGTTGGTTTTCATTTATTGATTTTAGTGGTTCTCTCCTTCCACTACCATGAGGGAGTCAGGAATAGAACTCAGAGGGTCGGTCTGCCTTGGCCTGGCCACAAGCCCCTTACCATCTCCCTGGGCCTGAAGATCTATTTCTTGTTAACAGAAATGGCACAATAACTAAAGGCTAGATCCATTCAAACAAAAACAAGTCCTTGGGAGATTAGGACCGAAGATTTATATGGTAGCCTTAGGACCGGACAACCCCTGCTTCCTTGTGCCTACTTCACAAACACTCTTAGATCGCAACACCCTGATAGTCTTCAGTGTGGAGGCTGTAGCTTGCAGTTAATAAGACACAATCACTGAGAATAGTCTCTGGGGTCCCTGCAGTCTCCCAGAGACCCAGCTAGGTGTCTATGGCCAGGATGCTAGCTGATCCCACTATTTCCACAGCTAGTAAGATCAGGAGTGGACTGATGCATACACTTGCCTGCACAGTGCAGTATACAAAGTTTAATTTCTGGAGCATAATGTGAACAGATGTTCAAGGGATTCACGATCCAGACCTGTTAAGGAATATTTTTTATTAATTCTTGGAGAATATCATACAAGGTATTTTGAACATATTCACCCCATTTACCCCAAATTCTCTCAGCCACACTCTTCACCCCTTCCATCCAAGCTTAAGGTATCTTTTACAATTGTCCTTTCCTCATTTCAAGTCCAGCTACAATGAAATTTTGAGTTCTGCAGTTCTTTATTGTGAGGACTATCCTGTGCATAAGATTATTATATATATATATATATATATATATATATATATATATATATATATATCCATGGATGTTTCACTTGTATGACCATGTCTGCACCACAAATTCGAAGTGCCTGCAGAAGCAAAAAGAGGGTGTCAGTTCTTCTGGAACTGGTGTTAGAGATGATTGTCAGCCACCATATGAGTGCTAAGAACAGAACTTGGGTCCTCTGCACAAGCAGCCAGGGCTTTTAACCACTGGGCCATCTTTCCAGCCCCACATGAAAAGAATTGACCCTACCCACTAAATATCAGCTGTTATGTAAAATCACCGTTCCTGATACACAACTGTTGATGTGGCTGCTGCTGCTGCTGGTGGTGGTGGTGGTGGTGGTGATGATGATGATGATGATGACATTTGCTGAGCATTTATCATGGACCACATACAATTCTAAGCACTTCCTGGGGATGTCACCAACTTCACAAGGAAGGTCCTATAATTGTCATTTTACAGATTAAGCCACTTGCAGCACAAACTGCTTATTGAGAAAGCCAGAACTCAACTGCAGTCGTTGGACTTCAGTCTCCGTCTTTAACTGTGACGCTGATGCTGCCTTGCTGAAATCACACTCAGTCAGATATATAACATTTGAGGCATAACTTCTTTCCCATTATTTCAAACATTTCAACAATAGGTGAGACTTATTAGAAATTTAAAACCTCTCGAGATTAAGGTAACTGACTCCCCTCTCCACAAGTTGTTAAAATTGCATCAGAAACTAGAATGCCTGGGGGGAGATCTAAATATCAGGTGGGGTTAGAGTCCTGGGACCACACTTTGACAAGTGGACATTCAACCATAAATATCAATATCCATTACATTAGAATCATTATTAGAATATCGACAGGGTCTTATTATTTTTATTGTCAACAGTTCAGAAGGAATCTTCACATTGTTTTTAAAATTCAGGATTTAGTCCATGTATCTCAGCACTTGTCTATTTTACTTAAGTCTTTTCACAAATACATCAGCGGGTAGAGGTATAACCCAGTGACAGTGTCATCTTAGCAGATTCGAGATCCTGAATGCAGTTTCCAGTGCTGCAGCCATCACTACCATCCAGCAAAAATTCAACTTCTTTCCCTACCCCTCTATCTTAGCTTCAAATGGAATCTTCAGATTTCTACACAAAATCAAAACACCCAAATAACGTAATTAAAGGTTTTGTCCCTGTTTGGATTGCTATGCCTTTAGAAAAATGTGATTTTTTTCCTTTTGGTCTAAAACCTTGTTTTTTAAATAGTTCCAGGCTGACCACAGATTATTAAAAAGAATACTATCTAATTACAGAATTTTTAAAATCTCATCAGATGCAATTTCTATAATTTGAAACACATAGAATATTTTATTTGCTTTCAAATTTCTAAAGAAGTAGATGGAAAAATAGCAACTTCAGTAATCTGTACTTAACTTATAATTATCAATTGATTTCCATACACTAGGTATTAGCATAAAAGGTTTTCATGTGCTAACCCATGTAATCTTAATAACAAGCCACCTCACATAGGCTTCTTTAGTACAGCCATTTTGGGTATGGAGAATGAGAGTTACGAAAACGTCAACCAAAAGTGACCAAAGTGATCAACATTATCTAATAACTCAGCTGTCTAGAGACAGCTGTCTACATAACCAAAGTGACCCATCTCCCCAGTGACTCAGCTGTCTATAGACTGAGTCATGACCAAAGTGATAGAGCTAGCCAGTGATTCTGCTGTTGTATAGATAACCCTTGACCAAAGTGAATCATCTATCCATCCATCCAGTGACTCAGCTGTCTATAGACTCACGACCAAAGTGATAGATCTATCCAGTGATCCAATGGTCTATAGACCCAGTTATTTGGCACCAAATCTTTGCTGGTTGCACAGACTGTCTTTCTAATAAAGTGGAAGAATTACTGCTAGATGCCATATCCCTCATCATTTGATAGGTAGATTAATTAGAATGTGTGTCTCACATACAATAGGAAAAAAATTTGTATAAAAAAACTATACCATCTATGAAATTCTTGGCAGCACAGGCTAAGACACTTTCTTTATTAATAAATTAATGTTTAAAGGTAATCTTAAAGCCAGTAATTCTAAAATATCATTCATACACTTAACTGACATTCCTCCTTTGCCATTAATTCAAGTACCTACCCTCATGATTTTATTTTTTTTAAAGATTTATCTATTTTTGTTCCATGTGTATGAGTGTTTTGCCTGTGTGGGCATAAGTGCACTATGTATGTGCCTGGTGCGCAAAGAGCCCAGAAAAAGGAGTGGGATCCTCTGGAACTGGCCATTGGAGTGCAGGAAACTGAAATCTACTCCTCTGTGAGAGCAGCAAGTATGCTTTTATGCACAAAACTCTCTCTCCAGACTGCTCCGCACCTCCATATTGCCTTGAACCACAACGAGAAGATAGAAAGTTAAGGGGACATAGGAATGGAAGGACCCTTGACCAAGTCTGGTTGAAACCTCTTACCAGCTGAGGAACATAATCCCAGCAGAGCTGACATTTGCTTAAAGCCCTTCTTATTTCTCAGCTCTAAACCTGCAACTCACTGAGAATCTTTCTACCAGATTTACCTACCAGAACTGCCCAGTATGGTAAAAAAGACTGCTCCAAAGATCTTATGAACTCAATGGCTCTGAATTTTATCAGATTATAATCCCATCCAAGGCCCCTCCAGAAATACCCCCATAATTTCATCAACCAAGTAGAGAAATGGACACATTAAAATGTTCTTAGCAACCCTTTGATATATCATTTGAAATCCACAATGGTATGTAAGGTCATGCTAAGGCACATAACTGTGACTGTGCCTTGAGAAGCCCACACCAACACTTGAACATGTCATTTTCTTTCTCTGAGCATCTCTCTTTCTCTCAACCTCTGCGCTTCAAACCTATACTAAAAGTAAGGCTGGGGAGATGCCTCAGTAGGCAAAGTATTCACAGTACAAAGGTGAGAACCAGAGTTCAGATGCCTAAAATTTACTTAAAGGCTGGACGGCCATGGCAGCTGCCCATGATCCCAGCACTCTGGGAGCAGAGATAGATCCTCAGAGCAAGCTGCTTGGCTAGACTAGCCAAGTTTGACTAGCTCCAAGTTCAGTGAGAGACCCTTCCTCAATAAATAAAGTGGAGAAGGATAGAGGAAGGCATCCAACACAGGCATGAACACACAAATGCTTATGCCTGTCACACTTACACACACACACACACACACACACACACATACACACACACACACACGTGTGCATGAGAAAGAAAGAGAGGCAAGAATACACTTATAAACACTCATACCATATACACATTCACACACCAAGTAAAAGGAAGAAAACTGTAGTAATGAAAAAGAATAAAAATGCATTTTAATAAATGGTTACTGTTCTCTGAGAAGCCCATACTCATTCTCTTGGGTGTGTCTTATTCTCTCCCTGAACACCTTTCTATTTTTAATAAACTCAAACTCTGCTTCCCAATGACTCCCACTGATAATCTCTTATGCCTCTAAGCCAAAGATGCTGTTTCTTCTGAACTGAGGTCCTTAAAAGATTAGAGGACTTCTCGGCCTGCTGAGGGTGATAGTGTGGAGCTGTGCCTCTGTCACTGGCCGCTGACAACCTCTCATTGAAACAATGTAGCCCAATTCACCTGGCTCAGGCTTAGTTAATACCAGTCCTGTCCTGCTCAGAATTAGCCTAACTTGTCATTTTCAGCAAAGAGATTTATTTTAAAACTGAATAAAACGAAGAGGAGAAATTGATCCTCGCGTTGTAGCTCTAACTCCTGCCCAGTCTCTTCCTGCAGTGTGTGAGGTATTTGCTCTGAGAATGGAGTTCTCAGTTTAGCACATGATTACATCTGCAAGATGAC